AAATTTGAAAAATGTCACGAGGTATGAACACTTTAGCAAGTATCTATAAAAAAATTAAAACATGTTATTAAAGAAATGTTCAAATTTTCTACACAGTATCATTAATATATCCCGATATATGCACTTATATCTGTAATGGGACGACTTATACTAAAATCAATGGTGTGCTGACCTCCCAGAATTTTAAACTGCAATAAATCCATAAAGGTTATCAGTTTGTCAAAGTGGGAGAGCAGGGGAGAGAAGGGGAATCTAATAGGATATGTTTGCCTCATTCCAGAGTTAATGGTGTTAAACTCCATAGGAAAGAGGGGGCTTTGACCTGAGAGCAGAGGAGGGGCCTGTAACATGGCCATAGACCTGTGGCAACCTGCCAACAGCCACTAATAGAGCCATAAAGCAATTACCAGGAAACACAAGGAGAGACGAATGGGGAATGAGGGAGAGATGCATTATGGGACAAATAAATACAAGAATGGATGGGAAGATTTATTGTGTTCTTAGTGTGAAGAAGGAGAGAGAAAAAAACCTATGAAGACTGCAGTGAAATAGGTCATTTGATATTACCATTAGCTGCTGATCAGTTAGAGAGATAGGACTGACAGCCTAGCTGCGCTCTCTTGGGGTTTCTCAGTCTGTATTCTTGAGATTTTTCTATGTTTTTGTACATAAAAATTAATTCATTTTATTTTCTAGCAAAATGTTGAAGCACAAGCTGAAAAATGGGGAATAAAAAAAAAGGAATGCATTAAAGTGTGAGCTGTAGAGCTGCTTCTCTTTGCTGTTTTGCTTTCAGGCACATATCTTATGGATCAGAGGAATGTTTAGGTCTGTGTGGAGATGTGAATACCTATTCAAGGGGGTGAGAGTAGTTTAGATATGTAAAGCGCTCCCTTAATGTTGCACGGCTTATCAGATTTATGCTCACTCTCTACAAAGGTGCAGCAATCATGGCTCATGAGTAAAAAAAAAAAAAAAAGAGACTAATCTTAGCTACAGTGCCTTCAAGACATTTTCTAAAATTAATCCCTTTGAAGACACTAATGTATGTATTGTATGTATTCATTGTTTCTTTTCCTTCAAATACTGCAAGCAGGGTTTTAATGGTGTTTGTTGGACAAAGGCCCTCTCTTCAGCTTAAAGCAGATTAGTTGTCATGAAAACTGTGTTTTGCATCTGAGCTGTGGACATTTCTGGCTCCTCCAGAGTTACAGTGTAGTCAATTCTTATAGTACCATCCTTTAATAATAATAATCATTGAGCTTTATTGATCTCACATTGGAGAAATTTACCTGTTCATTGGTAAATTTGTACTGATTTATAGGGGTGCACCGATTGCAGTTTTCCGGCCGATTTCCAATCACCGATCTTTAAAAAGTCTGACCTGCCGATTCCGCTTTTTGGTTAATACCGATTTTATTATTTTTTTTGCTATAACCAACACTGTGTTACAAGATCGCAATTCACTGTCAATGTTACAATCTTTTCTTGAAAAACATGCCCTTGAACAATAGCCTTCAACTATTATAAAATTGTTTTAACTGCCCATGAGGTAGAGCCTTGACATAGAAATGAATAAAATAATAAATATTAAATAAAACAAACTTAAGACTACAACATTGGTCTTTTGATTTTTTTACATTTCAAAAAACAAAACTTCAACAAAAGCTCAGAAAAAAATATGGAATAGCAACTGATTTTAAGACACTAGTGGAGGTAAATAGATCTGTGGTTAAGATCGGTTTCATATGTAAATATCGGCCGATCACCAATCACCCTAAATTAAGGAAATCGGGGCTGATCGATCGGCCGGCCGATTTATCGGTGCACCCCTACTGATTTATACTCAGAAACCAGGTCGTCTGCATGTGTGTCGCAGTTAACGTAGATGTCCCCCAGCCCTCTCTACAGACACTCTGTTGCACCTCTCCAAATTGTAGGTGACCGCAGACAGGAGGCCTCTGATTGGTCAAATCTGCATCCGCTCTACACTATGCCAATTTCCTGTTTGGTACCTTACCGCCTAGTTTTGTTTGTATGACCGCCATTGTGGAAAACTACTCGTGAAGATGGACCAGTTAGAAGAGCGAGGTGCGCAACAACGCTGGGACCCTTTTTCCACCTGGATCCCCGCTCTTTTTCGTCCTCATGTCCCTCCGTTGTTGCACAACCTTGCCCCCACTTCCTCACCTCCTTGGCCGTATCTAGACCCACAGCTAGTTCCTGATTGTCCCTCTTGCGTTGTGGCGTGGCATAACATAGCACAGACCACGCTTCAATTCTGGCATACATCAAAAATGGCTGCGACTGTGCGACACACTGCTGTGGGAGGATAACCAGCTTTTAATGGTCATGCTCAGAGACCCAGAGTGGCAGTCTGTGGGAGTGGGGCTCGAAATAAGAACCTCAGGATTCCAAGTTCTATGCCGTAACCACTAAGCCACCACTCCCCAAATGTAATGTAAATCCCTTTATTGTCCCACAATGGGGAAATTCACTCTCTGCTTTTGACCGATCCCCATGGGGAGCAGTGAACTGCCATTGTGCGGCACCTTGGGAGCAGTGTGGGGTTAAAGGTTTTGCTCAGGAACCCAGAGTTTAGGCTGTGTGGTTCAAACCAGGTACTTGCAACCTTCTTAAAGCACAACCGCACTGCGCTAACCACTAGGCCAACAATCCCCCAACTTGCTTGCAATGGTGGGCGTTCTCGTGTTCCATGCTCTTTATTATATTAGATAATGTACGAAATCAGAATCCTGCCAAAAGGGCAGACACATGATGAATAACCATATAAGCATCTGTATTTAAAACACAAACAGTAACAACATGCAGCCACTGAAACAGAATAGCTGAGATTAAATTTAATATAAGAAGACTATTTGCTAGTTAGGTGACTGGTCACACTGGGTTGTATTTAGGTTAGGGGTTATACCATATGCATACAACCCATTTCATATTTTAAAAGAGAAAAACCTTTTATCATTTCCCTTTTCATTATATGTAGAAGCTAATAACAAGTAATTCCCTAAAAATATGAGAAAAATTTGATTATATAACAGTCTAAAATGATATGACGTGATCTGCTTGTTCTGGAAGGAGGAGCAGATGGCTTGATAAGTTGGACGTGTTCATATACAGGTGCTGGTCATAAAATTAGAATATCATGAAAAAGTAGATTGATTTCAGTAATTCCATTTAAAAAGTGAAACTTGTATATTATATTCATACATTACATACAAACTCATATATTTCAGATGTTTATTTTGTTTAATTTTGATGATTACAAATGACAACAAATGAAAATCTCAAATTCATCATATCAGAAAATTAGAATATTGTGAAAAGGTTCAAAATTGATGGCCCCTGGTGCCACACTCTAATCAGCTAATTAACTCAAACCACCTGCAAAAGCCTTTAAATGGTCTTTCAGTCTAGTTCTATAGGCTACACAATCATGGGGAAGACTGCTGACTTGACAGTTGTCCAAAAGACGACCATCGACACCTTGCACAAGGAGGGCAAGACACAAAAGGTCATCGCTAAAGAGGCTGGCTGTTCACAGAGCTCAGTGTCCAAGCACATTAATAGAGAGGCGAAGGGAAGGAAAAGATGTGGTCGAAAAAAGTGTACAAGCAAGAGAGATAACCGCACCCTGGAGAGGATTGTGAAACAAAACCCATTCAAAAATGTGGGGGAGATTCACAAAGAGTGGACTGCAGCTGGAGTGAGTGCTTCAAGAACCACCACACACAGACGTATGAAAGACATGGGTTTCTGCTGTCGCATTCCTTGTGTCAAGCCACTCTTGAACCACAGACAGCGTCAGAAGCGTCTTGCCTGGGCTAAAGAGAAACAGGACTGGACTGCTGGTGAGTGGTCCAAAGTCATGTTCTCTGATGAAAGTAAATTTTGCATTTCCTTTGGAAATCAAGGTCCCAGAGTCTGGAGGAAAAGAAGAGAGGCACTTCATCCACGTTGCTTGAAGTCCAGTGTAAAGTTTCCACAGTCAGTGATGGTTTGGGGTGCCATGTCATCTGCTGGTGTTGGTCCATTGTGTTTTCTGAGGTCCAGGGTCAACGCAGCCACATACCAGGAAGTTTTAGAGCACTTCATGCTTCCTGCAGCTGACCAACTTTTTGGAGATGCAGATTTCATTTTCCAACAGGACTTGGCACCTGCACACAGTGCCAAAGCTACCAGTACCTGGTTGAAGGACCATGGTATCCCTGTTCTTAATTGGCCAGCAAACTCTCCTGACCTTAACCCCATAGAAAATCTATGGGGTATTGTGAAGAAGAAGATGCAATACACCAGACCCAACAATTCAGAAGAGCTAAAAGCCACTATTAGAGCAACCTGGGCTATCATAACACCTGAGCAGTGCCACAGACTGATCGACTCCATGCCACGCCGCATTGCTGCAGTAATACAGGCCAAAGGAGGCCCAACTAAATACTGAGTGCTGTACATGCTCATACTTTTCATGTTCATACTTTTCAGTTGGCCAACATTTCTATAAATCCTTTGTTTTTATTGGTCTTCAGTAATATTCTAATTTTCTGATATGATGAATTTGAGATTTTCATTTGTTGTCATTTGTAATCATCAAAATTAAACAAAATAAACATCTGAAATATATGAGTTTGTATGTAATGTATGAATATAATATACAAGTTTCACTTTTTAAATGGAATTACTGAAATCAATCTACTTTTTCATGATATTCTAATTTTATGACCAGCACCTGTAATGTGTGCGTGTGTTTTTTCTGCTCAGCGGGCGTGGGCGAAGTCTTGATTTTCTTTGTGTGAGCCTATACTGCATGGGCATGTGTGTGGGTGGCTGTTTGTGTCTGTGAGGTACTTTTTTTTTTTTTTTGCATTTCTGCTGGGTAACTGTGAAAAAAAGGGAAAAATGTGAAGAGAAAAATGCTCCTTTTAGGCCATTTCATCGCTCTTCCAATGCAAATCATCAGTTCTGATTTTTTTTGTCCTCCTCAGGCGCAACAATGAGGTGACCCACATTAAGATCCAGAACTCTGGAGACTACTATGACCTGTACGGAGGCGAGAAGTTCGCCACGCTAGCCGAGCTTGTGCAGTATTACACTGAACAGCAGGACCTCCTGCGCGAGAGAAACGGCCATGTCATCGAGCTGAAGTATCCGCTCAACTGCAAGGATCCGACCTCTGAGAGGTAGAGTCAAACCCTCGCCATCCAAACCATCACATTTCCATAAAGCAACACTCCTCACTTGCTGATTAGAATCAGGAACAGTTGTAAATGCAGATCTGTGTGATTTAATCTGCACGTTTCATGAATCCTGAGTGTGAGTAGGAGAGAGTTGATGCCTGACGGCACAGAGATAATCAAATGAATTCAAGTTGAATGTCCAACAGAAAGCAGCTTTATCGCTGTAGAACCCGAGCAAACTATGGTTTGATTATTGAAATACCAACATACTTTGCAAAAGAAATCAGGGTGTTGTATTCTACCAAAACAAAATATTGAAACTGGGCAGATGATCTCAACTGGAGAAGAACTTTAAGGCTGTAATTTTAATCATGTATTTTATGAGGAAAACCATGAGAAGGCAGCAACAAGGTAAACTACAACCAAACAGCAACAGAAAACTAGCCTGACCAGCCAGACTGAATTACATTGGGGCTAGGGATGACAACTCCCTGAAAAGAAAAAAAGGGACACCTCATTTGCATGCCAGCTGACCCGATTGCCTTTACCCCTCCTGGGGTGGTGATTTTTTTAGCCCCCCTTTGTGTGTGTAATTATTTTTTTTAACTATTTGACACAAATCTGCTTTGAAATAGGTGGAAATTTGCGAGTTACATGAACACATGGAAAACAAATTATTAACCAGCAATTCACTTTAATGCAAAATAACAAATTATGCTTAAACATAAGCCTGTCCTGCTTACCTTCATACTGTAAAAATAAATATATATTCATTTTTTTGTGCCTTGAACATATTTGTGCCTTAAATGCAACGACTGTAGGCTACAGTTGTAAAATAAAAAAAATAAAAACATTAGCTAAATGCTACATTATGTGGCGATAACCTACTTTTTCCACTTGTATTCTCTCTGAGCTCTTGAGTCGTACATGAGTCATGTACGCTAACCGCTGTGCCACAGGAACACGCCCGTCTGATTGGTTTTAACCTGATGACGTCGACCTTGTTCATCCCGCCTTTGAAACCGAGCTCTACCAGCTCTTTACCACACTGATAGAGTGAGACATACAGGGGGAAGAAAATTCTGCTAAAAGGCACATTGCTTATTTCACAGATAAAAACGAGCCACAGCAATGAATAAGAGCATAATGATTTTAAGTCAATATCTCAGGGTCAAAAGAACAGAGTTATGACCTTTACCAAAATCCCATGAGGCAGCACCTAAAATACACATGCAGGTATACAAAGCAAGGTCAAATACCACATAAGCCATATCTATTCAGGGCTGGAAGGGTCTTAAAAAAGGGGGAATGGCTTCTAGGTTCATACTGGTGGAACAAGTGGCAGCTAACTAAGCAGAAGTTAAAAAGATCAACCTTGTCTATCCCATCCTATTAGGATAGAGTGTTAATGAGACTACAGCTACTCTCAGCAGGTATTTTGGCCCACTCCTCATTAGCAAACTGGTCCAATTGTCTCAGGTTTGAAGGGGGCCTTTTCTAGACGGCTTATTTCAGCTCCTTCTAAAGATGCTCAATAGGATTTAGGTCAGGGGTCAAAGAAGGTCCCTTCAAAATAGTCCAATGTTTTTGTCTTAGCAGTTCTTGGGTGTTCTTTATATATATACATATATATATATATATATGTATAGAAATTGAAATCTTTTTAATCTCACACTGGAAAAATGTACCTCTGCATTTAACCCATCCCCTTAGGGAGCAGTGGGCTGCCATTGTGCGGTGCCCGGGGAGCAGTGTGGGGTTAAGGGTCTTGCTCAGAGACCCAGAGTGCAGGCTGTGGGCATTGAACTGCCCAGTGTCAGAAACAAGCTTTCTGACACTGGGCAGCATGTTTCCTTCTAGAATCCTTTGATAGTCGTGAGATTTCATTGAACCCTGCAGATATTCAAGACACCCAGTGCCAGATGAAGCAAAGTAGTCCCACTGCATAACAGAGCCTCCTCCATGTTTCACAGTAGGGACAGTGTGTTCTCTTGTTATTCTTCTTTTTTCTGTCTGTGAACATTGACCTGATGTAGCTTGGCGACAGGCTCCATTTTGTCTCATCTGTCCAGAGGATATTCTCTCAGAAGCATTGCGACTTGTCAACATGTAGTTTGGTCAATTCCAGCCTGACTTTTTTATGTCTTGTTTTCAGCATTAGTCTAATTTGACCTTAAACTTGAAATCCACCTTTAATCTCTTTAGAAGTTTTTCTGGGCTCTTTAGTTACCATACCTATATACCGTCTCCAGGGAGGTTGGCTACAGTTCCATGGATATTTAATTTCTTAATAATAGCTGCTTGGAGATGGTCGTAGACCTTTAACATACTTGTCTGTAATTATTGAAATCATAGTCAGCTAATTTAGTAATCGATTAATCGTTAAGTGGAGTGTAGAGACTAACTCTTTAGCTGACAGAGCAGCAAGTAGGTTGCATTTTGCAATTAAGATGAAAATCTTTTTGATCTGTCAGTATGCTCTTTCCAGAACTCCTCTAGTGGAAACATTTTAGTTTCACCTAGTTTAATTTTGTTAAATGTCTTCTTTAAGGAACCTTTGGCTATCCTATAATTAATTAATTCATTAATTGAAATTTTTAGCGACAGATTAATTGATTTGCAAAATAATCGTTGCAGCTTCACTGTAATTTACTTTTGAATCTCCTTTGACAACTCTGTCCTTTATTTCTTCTGGTCCATGTTTAGTGTGGTACATACCATGTCACCAAACAACACAGTGACTACTGGTCCTATATATGGGCCCACTGACTGATTACAAGATTGTAAACACCTGTGATGCCAATGAGTGCACACACTGCAGCTTCATGAGTGTATTTGGTAAAGTCAGTGTATTAAAACATGGTTGAAAATAGGGCGATCGTTTTGCAGTTTGATTCCTCTGTCGATTATTTTTTTTGATTGATTAATAACCCGATACCCAAAGGTTCCTCAAAAACAGTTATTTTAAAGAAATAACAAAGTAAAACTAAAGTTTTTTTTAACTTGAGTAGAAATAGATTAAGCATATTGACAGACAGAATTTTTTCACTCTTTTTTTTTCTTCTTTTTTTAAATCTTAAATCCAGATAAACACAATTTTGGTATAATTACTCCTCTTAGTGGGCTACTCTGTCAGCTAAAGGCATGTTTTACAGTCTATACTCCAGCTAACGATTAATCGGTTACTGCATTTGTTGACGATTATTTCTATAATCAATTAATCACGATTAATTCCAATGTTTCAGTGCTAGTTGGAAAGCAATGTCTCACTCTGATTTGTTTCAGCTGTTTTTCTATCAGTTTTCCAATTTGTTTGGATGGTTTCAAGTCAAAACACTGGATAAACTGAATTTGGGATAAATGTTGGCGACGTCCTAATTTATACCTAAACATAAAAAGTGTTTTAAGTTTTTTTTTTATTGCTTAGATTAAACTCTCATTAGTTTTCCTGTTTTGCTTTGTTTTTTCCACGTTAATGTAAATGTATATTGATACTCACGTGCATGCTCTTAAAACATTAATTGAAATATTTCAGTCCGTTTAACATTTAAGGCCAGTTGGAGAGCTAATTGAATCTAAACCAAAACAGCAACACAGATCCTAAAAAAAAACCTGTAGTTCGTGATGTTGCTGCATCCATTCAATTCCACTCAGAGTCGACAGAACAAGCAATAATATTGAATCACTGGCCCGCTCCCGCATTACTTAGTGAAGTATTCAATGTACTGGCAGTAGGTTAGTAATCCCCATTAACTCGTTAATTATATACCGGTGCACCTGCATGTTTACACAGATTGAAGAGAGGATGCTCTGAATAAACACTCCCACTCATGAAATGTATATGCACCTAACATCCGCAGAGATAAATAATTGTGTATTCCCCATTGCATGTTTGGATTAACTAAGTGGTTGGTGTCTATGCTTAGAAACACACACACAATTACAGAGAATATTCATGGTCTGAATGCTGAAAACACTTTATTAAATGTGGCATGATTATATTTCCCACTGCAGAGAATAATAATCTTTAAAAAAATGTTTATATGCTGATTATTTCAACACATCTGCAGCTTACAGTGTTTGTGTCGTAGCTTCTATTTAGGTCTGAGAACGACTTCTGGTCTATGGTTTTGGTTTCTGTGGTTTTTCCATTCTGTGTGTACTTCATGGTAGCGCTTCCTTTATGTTCGGGCTCATCTGACAGGAAACATAATGCCGACATGCAGGTATTTCATCTTGAAATCAGTTAGAGAGAGCCTGCAGCACTATAAGAGATCCCATGCTCCTTGAGTGGGAGTCTGCACTCACAGTGCACATATAGATTTAAGTTATGTTAAAGACGAAAGCTACAGGAAACAGACTTCAGTCCGCCCCCTCTGATGGAAAAGTTTATCTCACTCTGTCATCCTTGCACTAACATCCACCATGAGATGCACAAATATAGAGAGTGGTAGGTGGAGAGGCAGCAGGTGAATAGATGCAGTCCGTGACTTTTTATATATATATAATGGACACGTTGAAGGGCTTTTAATACTAAAGCAGTTATAGCTGATCAGTGAGAAACATGGGATGTTTGTTGGTGCAGTCAGAGAGAGATACACCAGTGATGCTCAACGTCTGCACCTGCTCAGGTCATTAAACATGAAGACGTAAACATGACCCGGCCTGTGATTTCTGTTGTAGGTCAGCCTCTGCTTTGATTCCCGGCCCAGGGTCTTTCTGCATGGAGTTTGTATGTTCTCCCTGAGAATGCGTGGGTTCTCTCTGGGTACTCTGGCTTCCTCCCACAGTCTAAAAACACGAATGTTAGGTTAATTGGTTTCTCTCAATTCTGCTTAGGTGTGAGTGTGTGCGTGAATGGTTGTTTGTCCTATTTGTCTCCGTGTTGTGATGGACTGGCAACCTGTCCAGGGTGGACCCCGCCTCTCACCCATAGACAGCTGGAGATAGGCGCCAGCACCCCTCACGACCTCGCTTGGGATAAGCATGACAGAAATGGATGG